AGCTCAGAAACCGCAAATGTTCGCGCTTCCCATTAATCCCCTGTACAAGAGCGAATCTTTTCCGCACATTAAATTCTTATAATGAATGAAAAAAATACACACTTAACTAAATTATAAATAGGTATTTTATTATGTACTATTAGGAGATATAATAATATAAATTAGTACCCACCTGCAATATAAGATGTAGTGGACCACTCACCCTGCAAGTGGGGGGCGGAGGTTCATATCCCCATAAGCAATTCCAAGGCATCTCTACATCCTTTAGTCCCAGCACATAGCGATCATTTATTACTTTTCCTTGTGCACATGTCACTATTCATCATTTTGGGAAAATCGAAAAAAATAAGGCTTTACTGTACCTCCACATATTTGTTCGGTACTTAATTTTCTTTCGAAATGTTCCTTATATATTTTCACGATTTAGGTTGAATTGTTTTAAGGTATATTGAAATGTTCTGCCGGCATTTATGAGCAGGTGCTGGGAGTAAAGTGATACGGGTGAACGCGACCACGGGCGCTTTGCGACTGAGTCTCGAGCTCAGCTGATCCGTTTTCATCTGGTATAGGTAGTTAGCTACTGGAACCTACCCAGATTCAGCTTGGACCCATTTACAACTAAGCAGAAAGGTAAGGTTTGATGAGAGGTCAGTAAAGGCTAGCTTTAGGTTCAGATGCTGTCAGAATTTTACGTAACTATATAACGTATAGAACGTATTTGAAAAATCCTTTTGCTAATTCGTGAGGCATATATAGTTTTCTTTATGCCTAGGTAAGATAACTACCTACGTTTACGTTATAAGACATTTTTTATATTGGAGAGGTTTGTTATAAAATGCCTATACTGTATTTGTCCGTGCCTTTTGTTCCGTTTTTTGTTACACAATGTCTATTCAAAACCACGAGTTATTTCCTACCATACAAGGATACATTTCCGTTGTCAATTCCCAATTTAACAGAGAACATCACAGGTATTGCGGCATGCCGTTATAAGCAAAAGTTGACCATTTGGGCACTTCCGTCACGCGCCAGCCGACCCCTCATAAATAACGCTTCCATTGTCACCTTGCCAATAACTCAATGAACTTTTTTTACACAATTTCACAGAGCTTTAGAGCCAACAATGATACTTCTTGAAATAATATATGTTAAGTAGCTATTATTATTTTAGTCTACGTTATCGCTCATAGTTATGTTATGTACAATAATTATTATTACAAATGGAGTCTAAATAACTCTACGGTAGGTAAACTTAAAAATGTAATCTACAACTTGCTTAACTATTGAAAATGTCATGCATAATTTAGGTCAGAACTTTTTATGGATATGACATAAACACGCGTAAGGCACTTTAAATCCATTAAAACAAATGTAGGGGATTATATCGGCTACCAACTCTATCTTGAGATGATTGTCCCACTACAACTTTCCTATTGGTAGAGCAGAGAAAACCGACACTTATGAATTTTGTAATGGGTTCATTCCCTTTACTATCTTTGAATTTTTGTCATAAAATGTAGAACACCGTGTGAACTCATCCCATCAGAAAAATAGTTTTTGTTCGTTTTGTACAATATTGAAACCAAAATTTTAATAAGTAGCTATTCTTATGATTTACTATATATTTATGAAAGGTATGGCTATTACGTTTTCTAATGCGTTAATTGTCAAGTAAGTAGGTTAGGTACTTAAGTAACAAACATTAAATTGAATTCTGCCTAACTTAAGCAAAAGTTGTAGAGAAACGAACCTGCAACAATAAATGCAGAGGCGGGCTGACCGCTAGTGGCCGCTGGCGTTCGCGCGACCACGGGCAGCTCCAAGGCATGCTTCTGATATTACGATCGGTCTTTGCACTGTTGACCTCTTCACATAACTTAATTGTTCACACCACTGTAAAACCTTATCGATACTACCTACCTAACTACTGTTTTATACACTACTTATTTGTATAAAATTTATACCAAAATAAAAATGTTTATATTACAATTCTTCCAAGCCGTCTATATACAGATTTGACACTGTCCGATTTCGGAGGTAACTCACGATTGTAAGCCCTGTCTGTATATGCAACAGGGCGTAAGAAACATACGCATGCGTGCGTACGGCAGGGCAACCGCGTCGGGACTGTCGGGATACGGGAGTCGGGACTTCGGTGACAGGGCAGGCTGGATACAGTCGCCCAAATCCCAAACATTCCCGGTATCCTACGCATCCCCCGGCACCCGACGGCAGCGGGTTTAGCGCGGGGTAAAATTGAGCGCATAAAAACCGCAAACAATTTCAAACATCCAAATGTTTATTACTGTGGGTTGGAATGGAAATTGGTAATATTTATTTTGGAAAGCCTTCAGTACTTTATTCTCACAAAAGTACGAGTAAAACATTTGTGAGCATGCCTTAGAAAATATGGTAATACAGTTGGATAAGACGAACGCACAGGCACGACAACGTTAATTCGGGCGAGTTTAAGCCAATTTACATACAATTCAAGCGACCTCGTCAATTAATTTACCTTATCTACTGGTGAATGCGCTAATCGGTCCAAATTAACATTCAATTTTAACTTTTACGGAGGCCGGCTTACGCACGTGTAAGTAATTTATTCCCATATGCGTCAAACACGCCAATTCCTTGACTATTCTAAAACGTTACTTAGTTGCTGTAGATCAGTAAAAAATCTTTAACACTGATACCGATAAGCTATTTGGTAAGGGAAAGTTCACACTAGAATTATAAAAAAATGCTTACCTGTTCAAAATACAGCTTAGGCTTACGATACCGCCACGAAAACCACTTCATATTTGTCGATTTATTGAAAAGTTCATAAAACAAAACAACACTTCCCACTAATAATGCAAATACGTAGAGAACAAAGTACTGTTCAAAATTTGTAGTATCATTTGACGACATTAGCGTATTCTTTTATTCAGAATGATGTAGGCATTCTTTATAATTCTTTTTACATAAAACCTATCACATGGACTTCTACGTCTGTGGTAAAGTCGGGCGAGGTCGACGCGGGCTGCAACGCAGATGCGGGTGCATCGTGTCGGGTGTCGAAAACAGAATGAACGCTAGCATCCATCCAATCCAACCTCCATCATACACCGCGTACTAATGTTAATTAAAATTAACACAGTGTTAAATGAACTAGCATCCAATCACAGGAACAAGTATCCTACTGTACTGTTAAAATTACTCTCGGGGTCATATTTCCGGTATCAAAGCATTTATTTTGAAAGTTTAATACTAGTAGAGTAAACGTGCATAAATGAAAATACTCATTATTGAGATATTAATATATTTTCGAATCTAAAATGTACAAAAAAAATACAACTTAAATGTAATGTACTCATAACGCCTGTTTGTATGAATGAATAAAACATTTCAATTGTTCGGATACATTAGTAGTGTCGGAATCATTAATTGACAATGCCGAGTAGTAAATGATCAGAACAAGCTACTAGGAACAAAAGGAGCGTTAAGCCACACCCGTACTACACGTAGTTAAAATATTCTTCTATTTTTATATTCATTTTTGTATTTATTCATCTTTTATAGTACCAAAATTAATAAATTCGATTTCACTAATATCAGGGCGGTTGTGTAAAAGGCTTCGACAAGACATTGGATGTACCCATACAGCTGTACAGTTTATTTGTATTTATCCTTAAAAAATAAACGTAACGACCTATATTAAATTTATTATTTTATCAACCATCACTTTATAACAACTTTGGTTGTGTATTCTACTCGTAAAAATATAATTGTATCTTAACTATTTACAATATATAAACAGACATACATACAATGCTTAGAAATGCACAGCAACACAAGAGGCCTTAATTAACATCAGATGAACTAAATAACACAGACTTAACGGCCACCCGCAGAAAATATCATCGCTAAGGACTAGTCTTATTTCAAATTCTATAACGTAGGATAGATCCAGTTGACAATGGTAACCGAAAGATACGTTGTTGAGCGGATCATTTGAATACCAAATCTTCCACTGAGGCAAAGAACATCAACAATGATGTCGTCTGCGAGTAACCAACTTCTAAAATCACTTTGCATTGTCGTAAAAACATAATCAGTTTCGTATAACACATTTTAATGTACCTATAACAGAATGTCATGCCTAAAATATACACATTATAAAAATACCCTTGTTCATAGACGACAGGCCAAGACAAGAGACACGATTTTATACAAAAAATAAAATCACTAATTGTACGGGAGTATTGCCTCGTTGTGTTAGCGACTGTCATCTAACTATAATACATAAATATTTATCACACTTAAATCTTAAAAGGACATTTAAAAGCCATAGTATTTAATAGTAAATGATTCTAAAATAAAAACGCAAATTTGTTATCGAACAAAACGAAAGTCTAATTATGTTTTCTTTGGAAACAAAGATTCCCGTACACATCAATGTTTCTCAATACAATTGCCAAGTGATCACCGAGTCCTCACCACAGAGTAAACATTTGGCTTTGAAAAAATAACTTTTATTACATATCGACATATCACATTGGCTGGTACAGTCCAGTTTTTATTGTTGAATATTGGATGGAAACTTTGGACCCTATTATTTGCAGTTGCAGTTTATGTTAATTTACTCTGTGTTAAAGAACTTTTTCTACATCCAAAAAATATTGTTATCGTCCTCTTACATATATAAAATTCCATACATTATAACATTTCAATATAGACCAATTTTCTCAAATATGTAAAATATTGTAAAATCTAAGTTGCTCTTATTTTTTATTTCATATTAACTTTTGAAAGGTCTATAAATATTATTGTAAGCTAAAATGTTGACGGCAATCGTCTAATCATACTCGATCATTTAATATAAGTTCAATCACACTTAATTTGTATCTGTATCACACAGTATTAGCGCAGTTTGTACGTATAATCATGAATTAATTATACAACACCTAATTAATGTTGCATAGTATATGAATCTATTACAGATAAAGACCTCTTCATTCTCTTAGTAGGCTTATGTATTTTCTTACAAATAGACATTTTGCATTTAGATTAATATTAATTTTATGCACGTACAAAGCCAATTTAACGTCAAACGTTTGTTTATGAAAATATGTAAAATACGTGTGATTTTAGGAATTCGATGATGCATTTCGTGGCCACAGACAGTCATTACACTATGAATTATAGCTACTGTGTGCCTTTTTCTTCAAGATTATAGATTATTTGTTCTAAAACAGAGTGTAGCTACTTGAAGTTTTCTATCAGTCGCGGGCGTAGAACAGGTAATTTTACAGCATTTTTGTTCTCTAAAATGGAAGACTAAACTTTTTTCTTTACGTGTTACTTGTTAAGGTGCGTATTACGCCTATTTATCGTGCGTACTTATTGCCCCTATCAAGAAAAAGCTATGTCTTATGTTTAAAAATCAGAACAATGTTAAGCACGATCTATTTACAGTAACATGCTTTAGCGATCAGTTACAAGATTTAAGGATTTAACGGCAATTTCTAAGTTCTATTTCATTACAATATACTACTAACGTTACTCTCATATATGAAACTTGAAAAAATATATTGAGGCACCGACGAGTTATTACGGCTCGTGTTGTCTAAAACATCTGCAACATTGGTTTATGTGCAGTAACAGAGGCAAAACTGCGTATTACTCAAATCTACAGTGATCATGTAAAATTGCAAAAAAATATTTGTAATATCTACGTACATTATATTTTTGGGTGCGTAACTTAATTCACCTGAATTAATTCACCTAGGTGCATTAAGTACACTTTTACTAAACTTAAATCACCTGGGTGCATTAGATAAACATAAAAGTAAACTGTATTCACCACGATATTTAAGGATGCCAGGATTCAACTCGTTACATGGTACAGATACGGTGATTAAAAACTTCCGTGATGAAACCTGCATGTCGAAGAAGGTTCACAATGAAGTCCCCAGCCCGCATTGGACTAGCATGGCGAGCTATGGCCTAAATCCTCGCATGAGAGGAGACTCTACTCAGCAGTGGGCCGTATAAATAGCTTACAGTATGATGAGTGTTCTGAGTAAAGCACCCAGGTGATTTAAGTTTACTAAAAGTGTACTTAATGCACCTAGGTGAATGAATTGTGAATTAGTTAACGCACCCTATATTTTTATTCCATAACAATCAGAAACACAAATGCATCGCAACTTGTGAACTGCGATAAGTAAGTAAGATTTATACGCTATGTTCAACTTGTATATCTGCGTCATGGTTCAAGGCCATTAGTTGTACTATATTATATTTGTATCTCCTAAGCTATCGAGCAGCACGTTTTCTCTTCCGATCTAATTATATGGAATGAAAGAAATATATATATTGCTAAAGGTTTCTGCTAATCATATAAATTATAAAAAGCGTTCTATTACCATTACTAGCTTTACACTGAAAGAAAAATTTCTTGTACTACACTATTCAAATATTAATGTCAAAGGGAAAATTGATAATGGCCTATATTTCAGAACTATTTATTTCATAATGGTATAAAAATATTTCTATATATTTCCTACTCAGATTAGTTGTTTCGTGGATATTCTCTTTATATTATTTGTACGTTCGTCGTTAGGTAGGTAATAACATCACATTTCAAATTTACACCTAACAGCTAAGGTATTACGATTGGTGTTAAGATAGAATAGTTCTTACGAAAACTTCCAAAATTATACTTTCTACGAATTTATCTCCTGCACCTAAAGTGAGCAACGTCCCGTAATTAAGTACTATTTCATATCCCTTTAATTTTATTGCCACAAGCCAGTATTTTTTCCAAACTATTGATTCTCGACGTTGACATGTTATTCACTATAATTAACAAATAAGTAGAGATTTAAACCTCGTTTGATGTTTAAGTATTTGTAACGTTTGTGGTCCCGAATGTAACGTAGTTAGGGAGCATGAGTTAATTTCATCTATAATTTTAAAGTATGACTTATTGTGACAGACTATAGACTCAAAAATTTACGCGTTAGTCCAATATTTGAATCCACATCACACGTACAAGATCCTTACGGTCATCAATATTTTAAATTTAGACGACTAACATTACATTGTGCAATTCTAAATCGTAAACGTCGAACTAGAGGACTATGTCAGGCAGTAACATTATATGCAAATACGAAACATGACTTCTCGACGATTTTATACATAGAATATATGGTACATCGTGCAGAAGGTTAGACGATAAATTTTTACGTATTTTTAGCACGTTGGTATTGCTAAAACACTGCCTAAAACAGTCCCTATAAATTACTAATTTGGTGCCTAAATAGTATACTTATGATGACATAAACATTTAACATTACACACACCTCCGTTGGGAAGTTTCGGTGTAGCATCTTATTCTAGGCATTGGTATTTATTTTTAGCCGATATATCTTAATAGTTCGCTGTCATGCTTATCACGCAATTACTCGACTATACAGGATCACGTGCGCACTGTTGAATATAAAAAAACTAGCTTTGATAACAAGAACGCAGTTTACGGGTCACATTAGGATAAAATTTCGTAAGACCAAATCACACACAGGATTAATTCCCCAACTCTTTTTGTCACTTACTCAAATTACATATAATTTATAAAAAACGGATACCTACAACACCAATAATTCTTATAGGATTAAAGATTTTCGGTATACCAAGTAACATTAACCATATGGGAGCACTATACCCATACAATAGTGAATATCTGCATATTGGAGAACATCCAACAAAGACACCGATAGAAGACATCGATAGATCCACAAAAACGACAAACAATCTAATGATCGATAAGATACTGCATTCCATTCAGATTAAGAGAAATAATTAATTTTTATTTCCGTGACAGCTATCATGTACTCTTTGTCATACGTTCATAAATCTGTGTTTTAACCACAATACACAGGTTTGTAAATGATTCTATAAGAAATAAACCAACATACAGCAAATTATATAATAAATTATATTTAAAATAAACAGAAGTCTAAATTTGTATAGGTATAATATTTATTGTTTTCACAAATATTTGGTTTGATTAACTTTCCTTTAAATTCTGACGTTCATCAAAGAATCAAAGAATAAAAATACAGCTCGTTAGCAAATAAAAAAATAAGGATAACATCGTAAAAACATAAGCTAAGTTTTGCAATGGTTTAAGCAATATCATAATGCATTTAAAAATTACCAAACTATATTTTATACGAAACACAAAGGAAATTTTGCAACAAAATATTTACAATAAAGCAACAGGTATAATTTAACAACACATATGTACACACGTAAACATAATGTTCCCTAATGAGAAACTGGTTCATTCAACGTCTGACCTCACCATATTCTATAATACAATTTACTTTGTCATAACAGGTAACATCTGACTTGCATACTATAATACATAACGTTCACAACGCCAAAATATGTGATTATTTCTATACAATATTGCACGCGGTATAATTCTATTGTACATTGTGTTAGGTATACTAGGCGCATGAGTCAATTATATTGTACATCACGTTATTGTTTCCTTGAAGGAAGCTACCGTCGTATTTCGTTTCGGACCAAATTATTTCGCTTATAGACTATAAAACAGAAAAAGATCATTCTTAGAAATCGTTCTCAAATAACATAAAACCGTATCTAATTATCATCAACGAAACGATTTATACAACTCGAGAATATCACTAGCACTACTATAGCATGGCCAGCGAACTTCCGAGGCAGATACGTGCGCTCTGTCGACGCGTTTTGCGATATACTTCGGCACGGACACGGGTCGTGTAATATGGCCACACTACAGACTACATATCGACGTATCATTAAGACGATCTATAAATACGTGTACTAAAAATTATACTCACTGACGTGAAATTTTACAGCCGCAGAGGTACCACGTAAAGTTAGACCGTAATTCGGAACGATGAGGTTCGTTACGATGGAATCTAGGTATCGTAGGGGATCGTCCGGTCGAACATAATAAATGCAAGATTGAGTAGCGAGAACGAATTGCTGAATCACTGCGAGAGGAGTTTTTGCAGGAGCGAGGCCTTAGCGGCCGCCGCCGGTGTGGTAGGGGTCTCGCCAGCCGGACTGGGCGCCTGGCCAGCCGCGACCGTGCGAGGTGCGCCCGGCCCCCGCGCCCCCCGCGTCTCATCACCGTCCACCGCTGACGCCGCCTCCGCCGAGACCGCCTCCGTAGTATTCTGATCCACAAACATTAGCACATTAGCCTACAACCCTATGTCATTCAACCCTTGTTCCAAACGCGATTATGTTTTGCCTTTCATCCAATACATTATTGCACACAGTATTAACGCCATAGACATAACGTGCACATACTCGCGTTTAGACTCGTGTGTACCGTAATGAAACGCCAACCGCAGTGGAATTGAAAGCAATTCTATTTAGGTACTGTCAGTGATGGATCACACAAAAGTTTTAGAATAATCAGGATTCCTTACGATATGTAATTAAAATTTCAAAATTAATTATATCACAAGATTCTGAATTTTAAAAGACTTTGTCATGATTTAGCTCTTAACAATAAATATGTATTATAATATTTTTAATGCATTAAGTATGAGCTGAAAGTAAAGCAGGTTTTTAACTAAAATCCTTCAAGCGATAAAAAAGTAACGCGTGTCTCAATTAATGCAATTATACATTACAATAAACGACTATCAATAGGTGAGGGTTAAGGTTAAAATTTACTTTTGCAAAACAATGCGGTACTTTATTGATCGCTCTATTTCTATTATAAATTTAAATCGATCGAAAGGTCTTTAGTCATGCAATCGTTTCAATTTTGTAAATCTACATAACTCAATAAGGAAATAACCTTTAATACTATAACGTTCAGCGGCAAACAATAAGCAAAACTATTGCAAAAACATATGTATTCAAATAGCCGATTGTATCGAGACATTGCGAAACCTTCACCACAGTACAGTCTGGACATGCGATATCTCCCCAATTTTGTCAAATAAAAAGCTTAGACTTTGTTTAGAGATCCTAGGAAGCGATTGGTATCCTTATATATAATACCTTTTGTTTCTAAGAATATCAGAAAACGAATGTACGTAGATAATTAAATTACGATATAGAGCAACAAAACCGCGCCACGTCACGTAGTTTTGAAATGAATTATTAAAGAATCATTTTACGAATTATTAAAATTATCAATATTAATAATAACAACATTGAACTATATACGTGACTATAACACCATTTTTTTGCACGCTAGTGTCCACTAGTGTGAGAAATATTAGACATCACATCACAAAAGCTTCTGTTGGTAGTGCAGAAATGTGCCAAGTATTGAAAAAGCACGGTATGCGGTAGTCACAAAACGCTACCGTAGTCTGTCACATCACAAGATAATTTACGAACGAAATATATCTTGGCACATTCCTATTGAACAGCATCTAAGTATCAAGATGATTGACTCGACAACACACGCAGAAGAGCAGACTGATTACGTAATAATCATAGATATACTACGAAAAATAATAAAAACCGATACAAATTAGTGGAGTGACTAGATGGTCTCGCTGGTCGCGTCCCAAGCTTACCGGGGTGCTCTGATGCGACTCCCACGAGTTAGCGGCCGCCGAGGACGCTCGGCCCCCCACCACACTGCCGCCACCTACGTACGTACACACGTATACATTGGCAGTGACCAGCCCCGAGTTCGCTTGTCGCAACGTACGCGCCCCTCACGAACTTATAAAGTCACTGCCCATATTTATATCCCATCGCCATCACTTGCAGACACGGTATTGATACCATCCAACCTTGTCGATTCACAAATCTGTGTCTATTGAACTTGTTCTTACACAACATACAGGGCGCTTATCAAAATAATTTACATCAATTAACATTCAATGCACTTACGATTTGAGTAGGACGATAGCAAAGATCGGATAAGAAATACGTTTTTGTCGGATTATGCACAGAATATTATTTTACTTATTCGTTTTATATACGCACATCAATGTTAGATTCTAAGCAATTTGCTTAGACCATCGACATTTTTTCAGTTAAATGGGCTACAAATCACAATCCAAGACTTAGTTCTAATAATATTGTTCGATGCTCTAAACGTCGTTACATAAATTTAGATTAAAATCACGGGGAAGTATACAACAGGAATACAAGGGTAACATCGGGCAGGTGGGGTAGAGAATGAAGCTGTATGTTTTACCTGGTGCGGGCATGTCGAAGGAGATGAGTGGTTCGAGGTCGGGCTGCATCTGCGCGTGCATGTCGGGCCTAAGGCGAGCGCCCAGGTGCGCGCGCAACTCATTGCGCACGTTCTCCGACCGGCCGCCGCCCACTACACCACCCAAGCCACCGTCGTTACCTGCACCTACGCCCGCCATACATTATTAACTTAAATTTCTATCGTCTTTGTTACAGCTTGTAATTCTTTGACATGAACTTTAAAAGCAAATGCACATTTAACCACACCGTACGCGCTGGATTTTAGTAATCTTTGAATAAAATTGTATTCTGTACAATTTAATACACGTGTTCCAAGCTCCAGAATTCAAAATTCGATCGGCATCGCCGCAACTTAAATTATATTAAAAATACGGTGCGGCGTGTACGGTATTTGCAAATGTGTAAGACCATCAGCAATTTGCTGATAACGACATCGTCTAATGTGATACGGTAATAGGATATACACGTCCAGCTTTAAAAGATAGTTTATGTATAGTCGCTAAAAATACCCAAATACACATAGTTGTTGAATTCGACACAACAATCATTCGTATTAATCTCACATTATAACAGACTGATCCAAACTTATGCAAAATATCTATTGAACAATCATACTGTGCAGTCAGTACGTTAGTTATTATCATGGAATAATACAGTGGTAAGAAGCGAAGTTCACTCAAGCACAGAATACATAGAGACTTACTCATGCAGAGCAATAGTTGCTGTTAGGAGAAAGAAAATAAGTTATGCAAAAACTACCACCGAATAAACTTCGATAAACTGATATCTAATATTGTCTTACCTTCACGTTACGAATTCAAATCATTCTGATAACATCAGCATGAAAAGCTTAATAAGGGATTAGATACATTACGTTAACAAACATTAAGAAAGTGCTACGTACATAATGTGAAGTGATTATACACATTGCAACGTTGAAAACACAGACATCGGGTTACTGTTTGTAGAATGTTACATTTACAGAAAGTGGATTCGCTCTTCACGAATATTATCAATACCAGATAACAACAGCCACATTGGTTCTCGAATACAGAATGTTTATTAGAGAAGAGGGCTTCGTCACACGTGAACAAGTAGGAGTCGGCGGGTGTGACTGGGGCCGGCGGGGCGGGGCGGTCCGCGGAGTGCGGATACTCACACGGCATGGGTTGGTCGTGCTGCGCGGGGTGCGGCGCCGGGGGCTGCGGCGCGTGCGGGTGCGCGTGCGCGTGTGTGTGCGGGTGCGGATGCGCGTGCGGCGCCTGCGGCCGACGCCCGTACTCGCTGCAGTAGCCCGCGCCCGCGCTCCCTCCGTCCTCGTAGTAGCCGCCCACTGCCACACACGCTGCGATATAGAACCTTTGCGACTGACCGGACGGGTGCAGACCTCACCTACCTAATTCGATGCTCTCCCACCTCGCATTCTTCAGTACCGCGATCGAAAGCGTCCATTCGACGCCGATCAACGGAAATCGTTCGGGAAATTCCGAATTCGGAAAGAAACAACGTTGAAACATCTCTCGACGATTTGCGTTTTCGGAGTGAGTGACGTTTCGATAAGTCCGGTTTAGGAATCAACCTCAGTGAGTCTCCATTGATCTCGGTTCAAAGATTTAGATAGGCAAGCCATATGCATGCAATTAGTTTTAAGTGGCTTCGGGTCAATAGATCCCGAATCCGGTAAATACGCTATATCTAACAAAATCTACGGGGCATGCTGAAGAATGTAAATGCCTCAAAAAATCATGCTTCGGTATAAGAAAAATAAAATCGATCGAGATCTAGAAGTCTACCTAAAAAGAAAAGTTTTAGTATTATCCAATTAAAAGCGAATATCATAAATATTGTTGGATCAGACTGAAAGTCGTAAGTGTTTTAGTTGCTCTTTTTACCTTTAACTATCTAATGGAAGGTAAATTCGTATCAATTAATACATACCCTTAACTGCCACTTCAACTTTTAAATTATAAAGTAGATTTGTTACATTAAAACACCAGCATAGCTAATATTGAACAAAATTTCACTATTTACAATACATTTTAATTAATCACCAATGTTACGCAATAATTACAACAACAAAATTTGATCCAAATTGGTTTGCGGATAGGTTATCTTGCGTGCTCAATTACATTCCCTTTTAAAAACAGTATCATCTTATTTATCTAAGTGAGTGGTAGTCAGATGTAGATTAAAGTTGACCATACATAAAAAACACGATACAGTTTACAGCATTTGGTAGTAGTCAGCGTTTTCTTGACATTGGTTGAGTATTGAAATAACACGCAAACGCGGTCCGACCGGCAGAGTTAGGGGTGTTAAATTACCTAGCTGTGGTCTCGGCGGTCGGTGGTAGGGCTGCGGTGTCAATGGCGTATGCAGTGCGGCGGCAGAGTGCGTCGTAGTGCTACCATGTGGGTACCCACCCGCGCCCGGTCCCTACAAAACATATACCACCTATTACAACGACAATTCAAGGACGACAAATAAGAGGATGTGGTTCTACAAAATTAGATAAAGTTCTGTGTCATAGGTGAGTGGATCCTGTAATGGCAGTGTTTAGTAGATCACGCATATATAATAAATATTAAATGTGTCCTATTAAGGTAATAATAGAACAAGTTAAATGACTTATGTACAGAAACTTACACTTAGTTGGCGACTAAGCATTGGATTTTGCTGCGGCGACACGATTTTGTTTGTACCGTAATTTGTACCCATTTGGTCTGAAACAACGTTGAAAACAATTACTTCACGTTTTGTAACAAGCGTTTATTTAATATTCGAAATTTATATTTTTCTTACTTTGGTGATATAAATGGTGATAATCGGTGCGCGTAAGCGCTACGTTAGGAGGTGTCGCCGAGACAAGGGCATTTATCGTTGAATCTAAATCTTGTTGTGATTGGTCCGCAGCCTGCAAAATGCAAACAATCTATAAATTACTTGTGTACTTAACATTAAGTGAACAATCATCGTGAAGTCGAATAAGAGTCTAAGCCGGGCTACGTGGTTTAAAGAGGTATCATGAGGGGCTTAATGAATCATGCTATCTCAAACCCCAACCTGCATTGAGCCAGTGTGGACAATGACCTTAAACCTCTCCTTAAAGGAGAGCCGTGTCTAGCAGTAGGAATGATAATGTTAGTGATAATAATAATTTATTTCATTTACTCTCAACATACAAGGCAAATTATGTAATGAAAAACTGGCTATGAGTTGCCTAAGATAAGCATAAAAATGCCTGTATTACATGTCGACAGGTCTCCATTCCGCGAAATGTACTATAGAATCAAGTTAAAACTCAATTTTACATCAGTTCCGGTCCGGTCTGTGGCAGCCTATCCACCGATCTTCGTACTCACTCGTCAATATTTGTCGAACATCTCAGTGCATCCTCTACTTCTACGGGCATTCAATCACGTCGGGAAATACTTGCGCGTGAATTGATAAGGTAAACTGGCCGTGGTCAATAAGGCGTTGATTTACCTCTAAAATTGCTATTTCGTTGAGGAACCCTTGGATCCACCAAGCCCGTAAACGGTGGATGCTCTCCAATCTTTTACAGTCTTCGAGTTTCGTGAAGATTCCAACCACTTTCGAGTTTAAGTTTTCCAAAAAAGAAGCGCCAGACTTCGGCGCCCAGACACGCCGGTGCGAGGAACTGATTTTTATATACTACTTTGAGCGTTAAGGATTTTTTAGAAAGATTAACAGCAAAAAAATGAGGATTTTTTTTTTATTTTATTTCACTAATGTGTAATGTAATGTATTATTGAATTTTATGCAAAATGGACAGTGATTTTTTTATCAAGTACTTTTTTCGTTTAACTTTTTTTAATCGCATACACTGCAGTTCCGAGCCGTTTGGATAATTTATTTATATGTGGACCCCACTGCAATTTAGCATCTAAAGTTATACCTAGAAATACAACTGTATCTACAAGGTTTAATTTTAGTTTCTAACTATAATATTTGTATCCGTCTGACATTGGGTAATGTAAATTTCACACAATTTGTTTTTTCTCATTAAGAAGCAGGCTAATCAAACGTTTGTACTCTCCCACTCAAAAATTGTTTAAGAGGTCGAAGTGACGGCCCGCCACACCAAAATGGCGAAGTTTTCTGACCAGAGTATCATGGTGCACAAAATCAAAGGCCTTGGAAAGGTGACAGAATACACCAATAGCATCATTGCCTTCCCATGGATCAAATATGTGTGTATTGTTGTATATATGATATAATGATCGGGTGCTAAGGGTATTATTGTACCTCTGGCGAGACGAGCATTGACTGCGAACGCTGCATCTGTAACAGGCGTTGCCGCTGTTGCTCAGCTAACGATCTTGCGCGCGCCGCATCACCACCACCCGCTAGCCCGTACACCGGTGCACTGCTGCCGCCCAATTGCATCCCCTGTACAAATCACAGTTACTTATATCTTTCTTTATTTATTTATTTATGACAGACGGTGTCGCATAAACCTATTACAGATTTTTTTTATTACACCACTGCATATCATATTGTCAGTAGTAAACACAAAAACGAGGGTAAGAAGATATTCCGCTCCCTCCGACACGACCAACAGTGCAAGTGCTGAATGTCGCATCCAGCACTTGCATGATTAGTTTTTTGTGGAAATGTGATGAAACTATTCTTTTATCGTAAATATTATGCGGTGTGTTTAATTTTTCAATAGTAGATCTACTGGACTATAGTTATATTTTACTCACTGAACTCTGAACAGGATACCCCGGAGGAGCGCCGGGACTCGAAGACACGGGATTTTTTACAGTAACTGTTTCAATCTGCATTAGACTATGTCTTATCGCACTTATCATGGCGTCTTCATCTTTAATTCCCTGTAAAAAGCGATGATATTTGATAATCAAAAATTCAAACTGAAATGTAAATTGAAGACGGAATAAAAGCTGGCCATGAAGTAACTCACCGCAAAATCCGGCCGCGGACGGTTCGTCTCCACGTCAAGTACATTGACGTCAGGCGCGGGCCGGTCCGCGTCGGGCATGTTCTCGATCACCTCATCTAAAATATCTGACAACACTTGATCGCGCGGCGCGTCGTTGTCGCTCTCGCCACCACCACCGACCGCTTGTGTACGCGTACTACTGCTACTGCAAACAAACACAAAAAATAGAATCCGCTATAAAATCACGACTGCCAACAACAGAGCCGGAAGAGAGTACTCACGGCGGCTGATTGTTGTAGACGTGGTGCGGCGCGGTGTTGGCGTAGTGCAGGGGCGCAGGCGCGGGGGCGGTCGCCGATGAGGGCGGCGGGTAGGCGCCCCGCGCACCGCCCTGCAGCACCATCTGCAAGTGGCTCTGCGTGCCGTGCATGCTTGCCGTGGCGCATTCCGCACCGCCCGCGCCACCGGCCACTGTCGATACCACACCGGGCCCGCCGTTCACGTTGCTGGCTCTACTACTGTTATGTAACGATACATATTATAGATATTTTACAATTCTCCAATACAATATGAACCATTCAAATTATGCAACTGTACTTACTGCGCAGTGAGAATACTAGAAATTGCAGCCTGGTGGTGCCGTTGCGCGGAGTGCTGTGGATGCTGCGGGTGCTGCGGATGTTGTTGATGTTGCGGATGCTGTGGGTGGGGTGTATGGGGCGCGTGTGACAAGGCGGGACGTGGCGCCCCCGGCGCGAACGCGCGCATCACAGGGTTTGCTTGGGGTTGGGGCGGGGGCGGGGGCACAGGCAATGCCTGCTGTCGCTTCAATAGCGACACCAATATTTGGTTCTTCTGGCACAAAGAGCTCATGCCTGCGTTACTCATCGATGGGCTGCTAGCGGTCGATGTCAGTGCTGACGACGCCACCATCTGTCCAGCCATGGAGGACACGGCGGTCGATGTCACCTAATATATAGAAAAAACATTCCATAATATTTTAGTTTTCCATATAGATTAAACATATTCAAAACCGAAATGTACATTACAGTACCTGCTGATTTTCAGGCGTAGCCCTTTTAACACTGCCGGGCGCCCCCTTTGGGTCTTCGAATTTGCGTTTTATGCCCGCATTGGTCATGCGTTCGAGGTAGTTATCGGTATGATCCTGACCGCGGTTTGGATTCGATGGTCCGTTAGTGTTTAACAGCAACTGAGACAAGACGCTAGGTTGTGATGTACTGCACCCCTCCACAGTTCTTCTATTTTCTTCATTTTCCTCATCGGATTTACCAATGAGTGTCTAAAACAAAATGTTGAAATATCAAACATTGGCGAAATGAAATCAAATTACACTTGTTTTACGCACATACTTTGATTTGTAATAGTTCTAAACAACGAAATTACCCTCAATATATTATTATGGTGAGGTTGCTGCATGTGCGACACATGCTGCGTGTGCGGAGGATGAGGTGGGTGCGGTGGGTGCGGCGGATGCGGCGGCGGGCGCGCGTGGCCCTGCGCGGATTGCAGCGGAGACAGCGCAGCAGCCGGCGTGTGCGGCGTATGCGGCGTGTGCGGCGTGTGGGGCGTATGAGGCGTATGCGGCGCAGACGTCTCACTCGACGTCGCCTCCTCATCCTCCTGCTTGAGGAGATCCTTCAGAATGTTGTTGTCCGATTTCTTGCTGAGCAGAATACGGAGCCGGTTAGGCTCCTCGACGGGCGGGGTGGGCGGCGGTGGCGCCTCGACAGGCGTCGATGGCGCTCGCGGCACCGGAAGTTCAATCGATTCTTTACGGTCCTTCGAATCTTCGCTGGACATTTCGCCCAGTTGGAACGGTGGTGACCATTGATCCAAGTCAAAATCATTGATGGAGAACGGCCCTTCAGTCGAACTCATGTAACGCTGCTCACACGAGGACTCTCCGTTGGCGACAGACGTCATCAGCGGGCCGCCGACGGGCGGGCGCGGGGCACTCGCTTCAAGCATATCACCTTCGTCGTCACCCAGCACGGAATGCGTCGACATTATAAAATCCGGCTCACCAGAGGTGGGCTTAGCACGAAAAAGCCGAGAGCGCGTATTCACTCGTATCCAAGGTTTGTCCGGCGCGATGCGCAATCTAAAAGGATCACTGACCGCAGGCGGCGCAGGGTGGCACGTTGTCTCGCGAAGATGCGCTTCTACGTGTGTACGATCACCAGGTTCGACTAGGTCCAAATAACGAGTACCCACAAGAGATAAAAGACAGTTTTTATAACTTTCCACACTATTCAAATCACAAGCTGGAACAAAACAAGTTTCTTATTACATGAAGCCTAATTTATCTCAGACTTGTACAGAACAATCACGAAATTTGAATAAAATATAAGCAAAAATAGCCTACTAAATCAAATAAATTAATTCTTAAACCTGGTAAAGACCAGCATATTAGTCAAAAGGATTGAATTGTTTGAAATTCCTCAATCATGCCTCCGTGAACGTCATCATCATATGTACGTACTGAGGACAGTGAAGTTGCAGTCTAGGCGAAACACAAAGTGGTCAGCCTGCTTGGGGGCGATGGCTGGCGGGCCACTGTCGACGGGAAGGAGAGCGGCCGACACGTCCTCGCAGCGCCGGATGACGCACATGACGGAGCCGGCCTCCTCCGCCGACGAACCGCGCACCGGCGCAGCGTGGATCACTGCTTCCACGTACCTGAACACCAAATTAATCATTTACTTTATAATTTACATGAGCTACTACATAACTGTATAGTTCGTTCGTGTAGAGAACATTTCCTTAGTATCACAAATGTCTATATGCGAAGGTTACGGCTTTGTGTCAAGTGGACTGTGTGATGGTTTGCTATTTGAATACCATAAATATGCAATAAATAGAAAGCAGTAGGAACGAACTGTTTTATGTTCAATACTTAGACTATGGAAACCAAAGGACATGTTATATTGACGTATATAAATCAGACGTTATATATATATAAAATATAAATGCATCATATATGTATATATATATATATATATATATATATATATATATATATATGATGCATTTAGACGGTGAAAACATTTTATTGTCTTTGTTTAACTACTGCGTGCCGTCGTAAGCCAAAAGAGATAGCACTACATTGATTTATGTTAAACACGGGAATCGAAATTACGTAACGTCATCTTAAATACCAACTGTCTTCATTTTACCATTTTTGGAGTACCCTTTGACATCCGTATCCGGTTGTCAAAGGGAAGTAGAACATCAAATGTCAAAACAATGTTTGGCCAAATGTTTTAGTGAATTATTCGCATGAATTGTAACGAAATGGACAAAAATATTAACAGTGAGAACAATTAAGTATTGATAAAAATGCGTCGCTGCAGCATTAAGGGGTCCGGCAGTAGAAAAAGCGGAAATCAACCGAATATTACATTACACCGGCATGTGTTATTTTTCTGCCTATAAATCACACAATAGCCGAAATATCTCATGTAATTACTCATTTAAGTAGTTTATTCATAAGTCTTGCCGAATTTTGCTTTGGTTACTTTAGATTGCCTGTTTGTTAGTATACTTTGATGATTGTTGATAACGATTATTTTAAGATAGTGTTGTTCTTGTAAGCAGACATATTATCGATATTCTTTTTTTGAAACAATTCACTACGAGGTTTTTATTATTTCATTATTATTATTTTTAAAGTTTACCTACAAATGAAAAAGAAAGAAGAATGGTTGGAAATTATAGGACTGCCGAACATACACATTGGATCAAATACCATCTTCGTTTGTTCGCTCCATTCAAATTTAAATAGAACTTTGAATGTAACTAGATTACATGCTAATGCAATTCCATCGTTACATTTATTGGTAAATAACTATATATTTAATTTTGATTGAAATAGCTCCTTACTTGCATAGTAATAATAGCCTAGTATTAATCATACTTTGATTACAGTAAACTACACAAATTTGCAAACATAAAACACAGTAACAACAGTTTCAACATTCAAGCCATACATTTGCATGTCGATATTGACTTATATATGATTATGGTGCAACACTAAATCCGCCATTTGTGGTGAATATTTTTGGTTTAGGTAGGGACGTTTATTCCGTAGATAAGGCAGCTCCTTTCCTTTATTTTTTCCATCCCCTAAAGTTCAATCATATGGCTTTGAATGTCGAATGTTTAGGCATTTACTTATAATTTAAAGGCATAATATAATTCCCAAGTTCTAATTTCAAATTGCATGCTTTATAAATTGAAGAGATGATTATTCTCCTTGGAATGTTTCACTAACCGTATGGTTGCCTAATTCACTGTTGACACTATACTACACCAATCAAACAATAATAATGATAACTATAGAGTTGGTGTTGTATTTTAAAGTACTACAATACACAGTCTGTACTCGTAATTATTGTATTCTGCATGCAGTCAATGCGACGTGATGATGACAAAACTGCCTCCGTGGCCGAACGGTTACCATGCCGGACTGCCACGCAGAGGTCCCAGGTTCGATTCCCGGGCCGGGAGAAATGTTTGTATGGCCTACATTTATTTCTCTCGTGAGTTTGGGTGTAATTTGTGGTTGTCTATGTGTGTGTCCATGGCACCCGCGACACAGGGTTTCCCTAGTGCGGGGCTATGTTGAGTGTGTGCGTTATTTATTTATTTATTTATTTATAAATGTAAAACAAAAATAAAATTATTATATTTATAAAGAAACTTTTGAGTTCACTGTTTTACGTGTAATCGCCCTCTTATCGTTCGTTCGTCACGATTGCCTATCATAATAAAATCGCAAAATATGCCAACATGTCAATAGGCAGCCAACAATGGATAGTTTTCTGACTCGTCGCTGTCATTGCGAAATTTGGTGAAATTGAAGAATCATTTAAGAAAAAACGCGTTGATATAGATTTTAATTTTTCAATAGTCATTTATGAAAAAGACTTTCTATGTCTGAATTTAAACAATTTTTAATGATCTACTAACCCAGAATCGTCGGTCCCATCCGGATTCTCCAGGAGTCGGACTTGAATGACTTGATATTTATCTGTGTCTCCCGCACCCCAACCGTACGTTTGAATATCCCGCAACAAGGGCCTCAATTTCGTATGATCTTCAATATGCAGAAGGTCGAAAATCGATGTTTTGTACAACTCAGTTCTTTCTTTTCGAACCAGTTCCTTTATGTTCTCCGTGACACATTCAATTTCGCCTCTTGAATTTATTTCCAATAAAATCCATCCAAAGTTACCAGTATAGTGTTTAAGTGCCTGAAAACGAAAAAACGTTTCCTCAAAATGTTAGTTTCACAATGTGCAAGTAATTCGATTTAATTTAGGAATTAAAAATATCACTAAAGCAAATCATAATTATTTAGATTCATTGTTTAGTTGAATGCAAAAATACTAGATAAAGATATGTTGTTAAAATATATATGTTGAAATTTTGTACTTAATACTAAACAGTGTTCTTGAGTCATGAATGTTCAAAGCGTTTGTACTCAAATATAAAATACAAAAATAAAAATTAAAGTTACCTCTATTAGAGTGGCGAGCTCAGAATAGTGCAGGCCAACTGGAGGTGGCTGGGGTTGCGTGGAGCTGACCTCACCAGCCTGCACAGGCGACAGGCACCGCGCGATGCGCTGGGGGCACTCGTCGGGGCAATCTTGTCGCCGCCTCAGAACTTCCTGAATCTGTAGAGTAGCCTCCCGAACTATACCGTTCTTGTCTGGCTGCTTTACTTCAGCAAGACAAGTAACAAGGAGCTCTTCGAGCTGGTTTATGGTATCGTTCTCGAGTTCCCGACGTTTCTTCTCGTTATTACACTTATTTCTGAAATTAGAATTCTTTAATGAGCTAAATGGTTACATTGCCAATCTACTAAAAATATTTAAAGAAATAAAATGTTTATGTAAGTTCGAAATCTCAAAAATATACGGAATCAAATCGAAGCTTGCGATAAAAAAGAATAAAAAGACAAGACTCGGAGCAGACGATAAAAACTTATCGTAAGCAGTAATTGTTGATATTTCGACTTTCTAGAAAAGAGGCTTGGTGGACAATGAAATTACCTACACTTCTTTGTTACCTCCACATTGTAATCATAAGGCACCATATCCATGTCCATTTATGTTACAGACAAATTAAGCGGACACGACAGACATGGCAAATGATTTGTCATGCTTTGAGTCATTTAATTACTCTAGCTAGGAGTCTTTGTCACAACGCACTAAAATCAAACATTTTTCACAGATTAACTATTCTTCTTCTTCTCTTGGCTTATTAGCGGTGCCCTTTTTAGATTCCGCCAGTATCGAATTTTCCGGTTAGTAATTTTAGAGCAGGTTCTGCTATTTAACGAGTACAGTGGGAGTACAATACGAGAAATTACAAATTAAAAAAGTAACAAAAATTATAGCTAATCGAACAAGCCAGTCACATTTACATTATACATTCATAATGCAATAGCACTACAACTATTATATTTTAGAATACGCATTCGTAATTTAACTAAAAACCCAAACTTTAAACAGCCTCCTGGGCATTAGTTTATGAACAATGCAATTTGCAAAACAAGGTTATACAGAAGCACACGTGGTTACAACAAAGCGTTGTTGTTGTGTGATTTGTTGCGAACATCATCGATTGTTTAAATTATAACCATTCACGATGTAGGTGTACTCGCCAATGTATGTTTTATGTCACGTGTCCCTATTAATTATAACACGAGCTGTATAAAATATGCTCCTGATAATGTGACGTGGGATCGCTTATTGAGATATATAAAATGCCTATAATTTTAATCTTAAAACACTTATGAAAATAGTTTCTATTGTATATATACTTGTGTAGTTTTTTATTTCGACAAAAACCTATTTTTCAATATTATACATTCAATTAAGAGCCGTATGTTGTCTATCCATACTGAGGTATATACGATAATTTCTTGGAAACAGATAAAAATAGTAGAGCTCATTTATCTAAACGTGTAAGCCTCTTTAAATATGAAATACATACATTTGCGATTGTGGCTTATTGTCTGGCTTTTTTCTTATCTTCTTAGCCGACGCTGTCACGCTCATCTTGTCTTGCATCCCCCTCCATGTGTCTCCCAGTTGGAGGTCACAGGATTCAAGTCTACAGGAGCAGTAAAAATAACCGTTTATTACAGAAGAATATTTATTATAATATGATATTTGGTGAATTTATGAAAAAAAAATTATGTATAAGTCTTTTTCGATTTTCCGCATAGGTAAGTTACGCAAAGAAATGGCAACTGTTATCAAACATGACTTTCAAAAAACTTTTAACAATAAAGCACCCTACAAGTATACAAGTAATAATAAGTAATAGATACACAATAATTGTCATCAAATAATATACATAAATACTTTAAAATAGTTTCAATAAACCCTAAGAAGTACAATAAAGTCTAAATGTAGTTTTTCTCAAACTCACTATACCCAAACTAACAGTAGTTCTACCTACACTAAGTACTTGATAATAAAAAAAACGTTCATTGCCAATACTATCTTAACGATTCCCCAATCATTTATAATTATTGTGCAAATGTATGAGTCATTGTCTGTGTGAAGTAAACTGGTAAGCTATATTGGATCAGGTTTTTGTTATAGGTGTTAGGTAAGTATATAAACAACCAAAACATAGAATAGCATGTGGATGATCGTTATAACAGAATAGAGATATCAAGGAATAGTGCCGAGATCGACACGACTCATATCAAACGCCAAGTACAAAGCAGACTGAAGCTTAATGCGAAAGAGGGACAGAGATACCAGTGGAACGAACCCTACCGAGGAGCCCCACTACGCAACCTCACTGCGACGACCGCGCAACCTTGAAATAATAATGTTCGGAATAACAACAACGCGCCATAAGCGTGACCAGAAATAGTATAATAAATATAATTCTCCAACATTTAAAGCCTCCTTTTAGACTAGGGTCGAAAACTCTATCCGGATGTTATTTCAATTACTTAATATTTCTAGTTTAAATAATATCAGTACGTTGAAAATTTTATTTCAAAGACGATCAATTAGCACTATTTCAATGTTGTTTGCAAATTTTAGATAATGTAAACACAAAAGGTTTTAAGCGTAGCTTAACGTTTGAAATCGATTGGGTGAAAGTTGGCATTGTAATTTGTAAACGTTTTGCGGACGAAGGTTTCGTTTTTCCAAGCGTTACTCAACAGGTATTCGTCATTCGCGACAATTCTCAACGCGTGTACCTATACTTATGCTTGGGGGAAGGAAGTCGATTCATTTAACGTAACATTGAGCTTGTTGTAACATATAAACATTCGTAGATAACTTTATATCGCAAGTTATTCTAGCAATGATAAGTCTAAATAACGTGGTACCTAAAAAGGATTAGCTGGCAATTATGTAATTCATGGTAAACATTATTTCATTACATGTTTGGTAAAAAGATAATTTACATAATAGCTAAATTAAAAGTAGCTACGTTGTAAGGATATGTATACTAACATACTTAAAGCAATATTAATGATCAGTTGTCGTAGGTCAGAATGCGTTATTTATAAAATAGATAATGGTAAATAAAAAGAAATGTAAGCTCTTATTTTTATGAATTTATATATCCCAAAACGTTTGACTAATTAGGTATAACCTTAAAACTTACATGCATTTGCAAGACCAAATGTCAACTAGATTTGTAGACATTTTATCATCATTTCAGTTAGTCGGTTTCTGCCGAGTGCCGATGGTAAGCGAGCTATCCATTAATTAGCTTCAATAAACTACAGTAAAGTTGGTAATGTCCTACCCAGTGTTAAATAAAAGCAACTGAGCAGAAACCACGTCGGAGATATTTAAAACCCACAAAGTACGCACGACCTCGGTAACCCAGCAGTTAGTAGTACTTTAATAGAGCTCCTTGTGAAAGAGTTCGTCCAGGGAAGTACTGCCACCTTACCTATTTCTGTCACCAAGCAGTAATGTGAGTTTTACTCCGGTTTTGACGGGTAAGGGTGCTGGTGATATTGCAGGTACGTGGGACTTATCAACTTATGTCTCAGGGCGACGAGTGCAGAGGCAGTGCCGCTCAGATCTTTGTGATTTAAAGCTCTGAGTAGCACTGCAACTGCTATGATCAGGCGTGTCTCTTACCACCAGGCATAGGACTTGTTCGTCCCATCCATTGGTATCATAAAAGTCGATTAAAAGTCCCAACAGCACCAATTTTCAAAAGAACTTTTCTGAATTGGTGCTATTAAGAACCATGGACAAATTGGTCTAGGTGTTCTGGGTGCCCTAGATGGACTCCCTAATTTGATATTTGTAAGGTTTTACAAATACAAGTGACTGGTGGTAAGCGACATGCCTGTCCGTAACAGTTGCAGTGCCCTCAAAACTTTAAATCGAAAAGATCTGATGGGCTCTGCCACTGCGCCCGTCGCCCTGAAACATAAGTTGAAAAGTCCCATGCGCCTACAATTTCACCAGCACCCTTACCTTTCAAAACCGAAACGCAATAATGTTCACATTACTGCTTGGTGGCAGAAATAGGTAAGGTAGCAGTATATCCCTTGACAAATTCTTTCACAAGGAGCTCTACTGCTACTAACAATAGTTACTTAAATACAAAAGAAACAGTCCAATATCATGACCTAGGGTCTTTCGTCGTTTTGGATCACGTCGCGATCGGACCGTTAATTTGTTGTGTTCGCAAAGAGAATTTTTTTAAAGGCTTATTGTTCTGTCCATGTTAAAAGCAGACGCAAATGTTGCAATTTGTGCGTGTGTTACGTACAGTACACAAATAAACAAAGTACAAAAATTAATGTACTTTATGTAAATTACATAATGTTCCTGGTAAATAATAATTTAAAAAATCACCAGCATTTATCTCGTACAACATTTTTAATAAAACATTATCTGTCATTTTTCTGCGATTTTCAATTAGATGATAGTGAAAATAAATAATATATACTTCCTTTGGAGGCTTCAAGAATTAGAAACAATTTTGTTGATTATTTCTACTGTTTGTATTCCGTTTGCGGTCCAAACAGCATGCGGCCTGAAGCGACGACCGACAGCGTAAACTCAAGTAGGTTCAGCGTCATATCGTATCTTTCCTCGCTAAATGCCGTCTCTGGCATTTTTATTTTATATTTTTATAGTAAGACGTACGACGCTAAATAACTTTCAAATGCAGTAAGTATCAATAACATACGAGAATGTTTTCTCGTATGTTATTGATATAATGAGTTTGAAAGGACTAACGGCTAACGGCTCCAGATGTGAAGTGGTAAACTGAATATAAGTTGTCCTGGAAAATTCGCCTAATAATAATTACGAGTCTGTCAGGAGAGGAATTACGACTAATACATACTATAACATAATTAGGCTCTTTTTAGTAGCAGTAAAGCTCCTTGTGAAAGAGTTCGTCCAGGGAAGTACAGCCACCTTACCTATTTATGTCACCAAGTGGTAACGTGAGCATTACTAGTGTTCCGGTTTTGAAGGGTAAGGGTGTTGGTGAAATATTCCAATGGCCCAGTGGCAGTGTCCTTCAGATCTTTGTTATTTAAAGCTCTCTGAGAAAAAAGCTGTCGTTTGTACGCTGTATTATGATTGATGTCTCAGTTTTATGGCTTAAAACCAAAACCTTCATTTTCCGCTAGTATTGTCGATTTTCCTACTCCCGAGTATTTGTATATTTGAATACCTCTACATAAGAAAGAATTGAATTAAATTGTGGCAAAAGAAAGAATTAAGATCTTCACAATCGATACCCAAAACCATTACTTAGATGGCCATATGAGATCACGGTGTTATGTATAAAATGACATTTGTAATTTTAGATTGCTCGTTCGTGTTCGCACTTTTTAAGGCTAAAGTATTAAAATCTTCATTTATCTTTCCAAACGATAACGTAATATATTTTTTTACTCGAGATTTCATGGCTAAGAACCACGCGACTTGGCATCAATTTCACATCTTTTTTTATTGTGTCTACGACGTTACATTACATAAAAAAACTACGTATAGTTAAATTCTATTATTTTTCCAAACTGAACAAAAGCTGGTAAGAGAGCTAACCGAATCTATAGTGTTTGTTTCGTGAGGATACATGGAAGTAGAAAATAATTATAGTCAATCTAGTAATCGGAATCTCCGAAATGCACGAACGTATCCGGTGACCAGTCATGGTAGAGACCAAATCCCATTGCATAACTTAACCTCATTTTAGCATACAGGTATCATGGATCACATAAAACTTAATACTACAATTTAATGGCTATCAAATTTTAAATTTCTCGATATGTATTACCATTACGTATTTATTAAAACAGGCTTTGTATATGACACGTTAGACGATGATGATGAGAATGACACGATTAGAATATAGATAACTATGATCATATAGTAGAATACAAAACGTAAAAGTTCTTGCTGAAGTAAAAACACATTTATCAAGTGCTGAATAAAGCTTTACAGAAACGATCAATACACGTGTAGTCGTAGCAATGACCGGGCTTGCGAACGAGGTACCGAACGACTTCAACGCCGTAATTTCATGAAACCTCGCGATATATTTAAATACAGTAAAAGAATTTTAATGGTAATTTACAAATACGATTTATCGCGAATTCGTAACTAATCAAGAAATTGAAGCCAGTGATGTTACATTATGTAATCAAGTACCTACAATACTGTGAGTCTCACATCAAATTAAAACAAGTAAATCCAACATTTAAAAAAATATATAATTTATTGGTGTAATTAATGCGATTGCGAACTTATATTGATGATGATGACACATAAGCATATAATTTTTAAAAATATTAACGAATTCACAAACGTGGACATCTCATTTTGTAGTGTTTACTAAGCTAAATGAGCCGTAATATAACACTTTGGTTATTTGTTTTCAGGCAAAAACGAGACACCAGAACGGTGTTAGCCGGGACAAAGAACTGTTTACTTCGTTCATTTAATCGACCAAAATCTTTTCGTGATGATTTCTGAATAGTAACTTTCAAAATATGTAGCTAGTCGTAATATAAATCTTATGATTAAAAGTATATACGACTATCGTATTCAATATTTAGCAGAATTGTTATAATTACATGTTTATTAATTTATTCA